AATATAAAGCCAAATGTGCAGGCTTCAGCTTTCAAGTATAAAGAAATGTGAATCAAGCCCTGGCTGGTGTAGCTCAGTGGATTGAGCTCGGGCTGTGACCCAAAGTGTCGCCAATTTGATTCCCAGTCAGTGCACCTGCCTGGGTTGCAGGCCAGGTCCCCAGTGGGAGCCACGTAACAGGCAACCACACATTGATGTTTCTCTCCCTCTCTTTCTCCCTCCCTTCCCCTCTCTCTAAATAGATAAATAAAATCTTAAAAAAAGAGAAAGGAATGTGAATCCTGGCAAACAGTGAAGAGAGAATGAATTAAGGGGCTAAAAGAAGTACCCGATAAACCAGTATTCTACACCACCAGCAGCGTTGCCCAAAATCAAAGGTGAAATAAAGATATCTTTAGAAAAAACTAAATCAAAACAGTCGTTAGAAGACTTAATTAGAAAAAAACAATAAGGTGAATTCTCCAACCCAGGAAAAGTTACCCCACTGATAAACGGAAATGCAAGAGGAGCAAAGGAAAAGGGTTAAAACACAGAAAATTGTAAATGAACTTCTATAAAGCAATAGTAGAGTGTCACAAAAAGATTAAGATGTGTAGAATTAAAATGTGCGACATGAATAACTTTAAAAAAGCAGGAAAGAGAAAAAGAAATGCAAAGTGTTCTAAGGTATCGGCACTATGAGGAGGGGAATAAGTAATTATTTCTATTGGACAGTATCAAGTGACAGATTCAGGACTTATTTCTGCAACTGTGAGGACATCTGTGTGTGACTGTAGCGAACAAGAGTACAGAGAGAACAATGAAACAGTGAAAACATTTCCTTGAATAAAGCCATGCAAAGAGTTATAAAGATGAAAAACCAATCCCATGTACAATAGCATCAAAAATGAAATAGCAAATAATAAACTTAACAAGGAGGTGAAAGATCTGGAAACTCCAAGACGCTGATGAAAGAAACTGAGCAACAAACACATGGAAAGATAGCTTGTGTTCATGCTTTGGACGAATTAATATTGTTAAAACGCCCGTATTTCCCAAAGTCAACTCCATAGTCAATGCAATTGATATCAAAAAGATTCACAAATCCATTAAAAAGGCTGACAGCAGCATATTAGAATATATACACACATATAAATGTGCTAGAGACACTTAATATTATATCAGAGACTGAAAACTCAGGAAATTGAAAACTTATCCAAAATTGAAGCAGAAAGAAAAACAAGTGGAAATTATGGGGGGGGGGAGCACTGGGGACACGTGCCACACTGTGAAACGCTCTGGACAAAACCTGAAATTCCACAGAATTATGTCTAATGAGAGATGGGCAGAGCCTATCCACCCACAGACTACGACGTGTACTTGAAGAGGAGTTAAAGAAAATATCGATGAATGGAGAGTTTTACCACCTTCACGCACTGCTAGAAACACTTTTTTAAGGGCATCGATTCAGAATACATTTAATAGTACATTTTGGGGGGGGTCAGATGTACTTCATTATTAAATGTATTCACATGCTGTAAATCACATCTTAATTTTGGAAATAGTAAATGTAAAAAATGAACATCTTAGGATCAAAAAACTATAGTATCTGAACCACTGGCTCTGAGAGATCCCACTAATAAAGAAAATGGACCTTTGAGCTTATGAATAAATAGAAAAAAATGACGCAATGGGTCTACTGAAGGAAGACACGTTTCAGTTAAGAACCTTTACCTACTGATTAACGTGAACACTTTTGAGTTTGTCTTAACTGAAAAAATTCAACAGGGGTTACTATGAAATGCGTAATGAAAATTGACTTCAGAGGAGATGAGAAGAGGGGTCCCGGGGAACTGCCTCACTCATCACCGTGGTCTCCACAGATGCCAACCATGAATTCTTCATGTTGTCCTTGACTTCCTTTGTCGACACAGATTGGCTGGCATTGCCCGAATATGGAATGTCCAAGCACCCAGGGAAGCCCACCTGAGGACAAACAGCAATTTACCATTTTGAATAAGGTAGGAATGAAGCACTAGCTGGGGGTCTTCTTGTGGAGAAGCTGCTGCCTCAGTGGGTTTTCTACAAGAGTTGCATTTCCCAGGAATAGCAACTCCCAGAGTGCACAGTGGTTACGATGTTCGGGGCTGCAAGCAACAGAGAGAGACTGGCTGGCTTAAGCCCCAAAGTAATTTATTGGAAGGACATAGGTGTCTGAAGGAACCCAGGGAAGAAATTCTTGAATTGAGGCAGTGGATTCATTCATTATTTAGCCAGTAAGTATTTATTGAGCAGCTACTGGGATCCAGGCCTGTGCCTCATACTGCAGATAGAGTAGCAAACGAGACAAACTCGATCCCCACCCAAAGCTCTGCGGGGGACACAGAAAAGAAATGAAGATAGGAAGAAGGAAAGGGAAGGGAAGGTGGGGAAAGGAGAGGAAAGGGAGCGAAGAAAAGGGAAGGGAAGAAACCATGAAAACATCAGATAATGGCCAATCGAGATAGGAGCAATAATGGCGGCAAACAGGGTGGTCAGGGGAGTCTTTTCAGAGTGAGTGACGTGAGCTATGATAAAAAATGAAAGGAAACCATGTGTACAAAGGATCGGAGAGTAATTTTCTAAGGAAATGGTAACAGCATTAGCAAAGGCCCAGAGGCAGAAAGGAGCTTGGTGAGGCCTTGGAAAAAACGGGAAGCTAGAGCTTAACAATAGAGAGTGAAGTCACCGTAGGCAAGACATTTCCTCAATCCCCTGCCGGGAGTTCCGGGGCTTTCCCTGTAGAATTGTCACATTAAAATGTGACTTGGATTCAAGGACTATTAGCGTCTGTACCTCTTTGTTCCAAGTTACATCTTACCTGGACCTATCCTTATATTTCAGGGGCTATTTCCAGAAACAAGGGAATTGCTATGAGCTAGAAAGCAGCCCAAGAGGTAATGAGGACAGCTCAAATCCACCCCATTTTCTCTCTCCAGGAAATGCTAGAGGGTCCTGGAGAAGAGGATAAAGAAAACAGGATGCCCCGGACTGCTGATCACAGCAGCTTTGTTTGCCGACAGAAGCACCATCAACGTGCAAGTACAGGGACTGGGGAGGAAGTGCGCAGGGTCCTCAGCCCCCAAATCCCAGAGCAGAGGTTCCTCAGCTTTTGAGGGGAGAATATCCCGGGTAGTTTTATAAACATCATGTTGGGAGAGTTGATACCTTCACTGTCTTGCTGAAGAGGTCTGGGGACTTAGTGGTTCTGGTGGCCTGTTTATTATCTTTATTATTTAAAAAATCTTCACATGAGGATATGTTTATTTGTTTTAGAGAGAGAGGAAGTGGGAGAGAGAGAAACATCAACAGGTTGCCTCCCACAGGCACCCTGACCGGGGATCGAACCTACAACCTTTTGGTGCAATGGGACAACGCTCCAATCAATGGAGTCAGCCAGCCAGGCCAAGGTGGTAGCCTCTTTAAATTGTCCCTGTGGTGGGCTTTGGGGAGAAGAAGAACACAATGTAAGACCATGGCAAATCCTTATAACAGCAATCCTCATTAGTTTCTTTTGAAAAAAGCTGTCAGATGAAGAACGCTATCGTTGGTAAAGCGTTAGGAGAGCTGGTCACCTGGGGTTCCCAGGGCCCTGGAGACGTGCCTCAGACACACACTCCTGGAACCCACCTGCCCTCACCTCCAGCTCCGGGTTTGCCCTGTTCTCCGCCCCAGGGGAGGTAAAGGAGACTTCCTATGTATCCCTATGAGGGTCACAGAACATAACCTCCCCCTGGAGACCCCCAGGAAGCCACACTGGTGGGGCCCACATGGATGTCGACCTGGCATTACAGGTTTTCCACTGCAACCATTTCTTACTCTTAAATGACCTATAGAAAAATGCCCACCAGGATCCTGAGGGGTCAGAACCTCTGTTCCGGACTCGTTGGTTTCATCTGAGGCGCCCAGATGACCCACGACTACTTCCATGGTGACTGGGACACAACCGTCCCCTGCACATAGGATCCAAGGAACAAGGTGATGTGCATTATTTTGATGGTGTACAAAAGAATAGCCTCAAATCATAAGACAAGGGGAAATTCAGGAGAGCCTGGACTCTTGGCAAAGAGGCTTTCTCTTTGGGGGACAATTAGCGAGACCCTGCTAATTAAATGGGACAAACACTGGTAAGAAATCAGGTTTGGGTTGCTTTCTCCAGACACGTCACGAAGTGCAGGGCAGACGGGGGTCCCTGCCGAGAAGCTCCTCATTGGGGCTCCCCTTTTACAGGAAGACCTTCCGGCTGTCTTGGTGCTTCTGGCCCCTCCGGCTGTGTTCCGTCTCTGGAGCGGGGTCAACTGGCCCCACCACGTATGAGGCTAGCTTCTGGGCTTTTACTACCTCGAGGCTAATTGGGGTTGAAGAGACACTGGGGAAAATTCTTTCACTCTCCAAGTCATCTTGCTACCCTCCGAGATCCCGTGCCCCGGCTCCTCACAGCGCTGAGCATCGGCAGCCTGGGGAAGGGCAGACTGATGGCGGCAGAATGCTTCTCACTTAAAAAAAAAAATCAATCTGAATTTCCTTTGGGGGTCCTGAAGCACCACTTCTCCTACAGCCCCAAAGCCAAACACAGTCCTAAGACATCTGTGTCAATGACAGAAGGATGTCAATAGTCCAGCCTAGAGATGCTAGTAATTCGATTTCTCGTCCAACTTGAATTGACTGCATTTAGTCAAATACTGTGCTGATAATTCGGAGACTGACAGACAAGTGGTCAGCCATGTTTGCCACCCCGCTGACCCTGCTGGCTCCTATTTTCCTCATAGCATGTCACCCAGTCACCATTCTTCCTGGTTTGCTGGTGACAGACCCGGCTTATGGCCACAGTCTTGGTATAATTATTAATAAGGCCCCCACTGACTCTCGGATATGTCTGTTCAGACTAATACATTTCCCCCGTTTCATCTGAGGCATCTAGGTGCCTCAGACAAAACCCCATGTGTGTCACACACCCCACAAAGCAACACATGGGCAGAGAATGTTCTGAACCGTCTTTATGCTCTCACATGTAGGTATGAGCCCCCGGCCTCTCCCTGGGCCCCCTGTGGCAGACGAGGGGACTGCAGCTACGCAGAGGCGGAGGAGCAGCTCTGTCCTCCACCCAGGAGACTCTGTGGTCAGGAGCAGCTCGTGAAGGAAGTCCCAGCTCCTCAATTGTAAAACAGGCGCAAGTAGGCCAAGCGGTTCCGGTGTCTTCTGAAGTCCTTGTCCGTGGGCAGCTGCAACGAAAGAATGTTGTCTCAGACCAACTTCTGAGCAGAGCCCCTCCCCCCCGCCCGTCTCTGGGCCATGGCTGTGCAACACAGACAGGCTGCTGTAGCAGCGTGGCCAGCTCAGCCCCACCCAGCAGCCGTCTGGCCTCAGCAATGCTCTCAACTTTTGTATGTACACTGTCTCTTTGTCGTCTTCCTCTGGTGTCTGTCATGCCAAGGATTAGTTTTTTTTTTTTTTGGTAAAGCTCTAAGAGTGAGCTGGTAAACTTCTTGAAAGCAGAAGTGATATGTTTAATCCTTGAAAGTTCCCTATAGGCCCGAGCACAATGACATGAATACAGTGGGCATTTCATAAATATCTGTGAAATTAATCTGAAATTCCACTAGGAAATAAAAGGCATATTTAGCATTATGACAGCTAACATGGGTTGAGCATTTATTACTTTGTAGACTCTGTGTTAAATGCTTTTGTACCTTATTGCAATTTTTACAACCTATCAGATTGGTTTTCTTACTCCACTCATTTTAAAGGTAAGAAAACCCAGGCTTAGAAAAATCAGGGGACTCGTCCGAGCTCACACAGCAGGTGAGCACCGGAGCTGGGATGTGAGCCCAGGCAGTCTGTCCCCAGAACCCATGCCCTTACCAGAATGCTCCACAGCCTTCTGAAGACAGAAAAAGCAGTGGCTTCATTCTGTGCAGCCTGCGCAAGTCACGTAATTTATCTGGGTCTCAATTCCTCCTGTCATATAGTTCTCCCATACCCACCATAGATTACTTGAGGATTGAATTTTGAAATGTTAACTTCTATGCAGTCATGCATACCTTTAAAAATCTAATAAAATTACGCAACTTCCCCTGCCCCCAGGTCCCCATATGCATATACACATAAAATCGTGCATGTAACCTCAGGGGAGCAAGACTTTCCAAAGCTCACTCACAGACTCCCAGTTAGGAGCCACTGTGGAAGAACCAGACAGTGCTCTACAGAAGCCCGGTCCTATTACCTCAGCTTTTAGGGTTCTTTTCTGTAGACTTGGAACCTGAGCCCAGTCTGGAGATCCAAATTTCATTGGCCAGGCGACTTTGGGGGGTGGCCTTATCTCTGGGTTGTACGTGCCAGGGCTAGAGGTAAAAATACATAATGTCACCTTGAGGTGTTAGTGACCACATGCAAACCCATCAGCACTCCTGCTCTCCCTGGGTCCAGGTCTCCCAAGGCTGGCTCAGTCTTTTCCTTCTGATTTCAGAACAAGTGTCATCTCACCCAGAAAGACCTCTCTCGACAAGCCTTGACAAAGCAGCCTCTATATCATAACATCATCCTGTACTATTTCCTCATAGCATGTCACCCGGTCACCATTCTTCCTGGTTTGCTGATGACAGATCCGGCTCATGGCTACAGTCTTGGTGTAATTATTCATAAGGCCCCTGTTGCCTCTTGGATGTGTCAGTTCAGACTAATATATTATATGGCCATTCTCCTTATTACTATTGGTATTTTCTTGTTTATTTGTTTCTCAATTGTCTGGATTCTAGAATGTAAGCTCCAAGAAATCAAGAGCCTTGTGTCATGGGTTTAATGCAAAATCTCTGGAACCTACAAAAATGCCTGCCAGATTTATCCATATTTATTAAATGAGTTTACACTTCTATGACGCCAGAGATCTGCAAGGCAAGAGGTTGAGTCTTATAAAGATAAGCAACTATTTAGCTGGCATGGTTTGGGGGTGACCCTTTCTTTGTCCTTCCTTCCCTACTGCTCTTCATTGAAGGGCCCCAGAAGAGAGGACACGTACCCAGGACGATACTTGTCCCTTGAGTATGTCCCAAATCGAGGCAACATGACATTAAATGGAGCAAAATTTTGCTTGACATTTCGCTCCTGAAGACTCACTGTCTGGTACGTGCCTGGGTGTGGTGTCACATCCTGTTACCAAGAAAAAGATCGATATATCAGAGGGTGGTACACAGGTGTACACAGGAGCCTTCCACGTACGAAGCTTTGAGCTTCGCTGTCAGGAAAATGTCCTAGAGATTAGGATGCTGTACTGAGGACTTTTAGACTTGAATCACACAAAAGGGTGAAAAAGCTCGCCCTGGTTGGTGGAGCTCAGTGGATCGAGCACAGGCCTGTAAACCAAAGGACTGCAGTTGGATTCCCAGTCAGGGCACATGCCTGGGTTGCAGGCTGGTTCCCAGCAGGGGATGCACAAGAAGCAACCATACGTTTATATTTCTCTCCCTCTCTCCTTCCCTTCCCTTCTACAGATAAATAAATAAAATCTAAAAATAAATAAAATTATTTTTTAAAAGGGTGGAAAAGCTGGAATCTGTGTTTTAACTGGCAAGATAATCTGAAGCATACAAACAAAGCTTCCAGTATTTGACCATCAGGTGTCTTGGTCGGCACTGAAGCTCTGACTTGGTTGGTGCCACTTCTTTGGAGAATTATTCCCCACTCTCCTGGACACTCACACACACATTTGCAAGGCTAACGCCCAGGCTTTTCCGAAAGTCTTAATAGCTTTTGCCTAAATGTCTATTTTTTCTTGAATTTCAGAGCATACTGTGCGGGTAACCTCCCACTCACCGCTCTGTGCTCCCCGATGCAAATACACACAACACCACGGATCACACAAACACTTAAGCAGGTGCAGTCATTACTAACCTTGTTGATTGGCTTAAACCTCGCGGCTGTTCTGGCTCCAAAAGAATATCCTTTTCTGCTGGTCGGGATCTTAGAGAGGTTGTATACCCAGTCATACCTCTTTGGGTAGAATGTATTTGTTAAAAAAAAAACAGAGAAAGAAAAACACAGAGAACGTTATGGTCACCAAAACAGAATGAACTTAGAATGATCTTATCTGAATCTTGTCTGCAAAAGTTGCTCTGTCTTGACGGCCCTGAGTCAAGGCTATTTGAACAATCACATGAGTAACAGGTAGCTTTGCAAAGGAATGTGCTGGGTAGGGAGAGTCGGTGACATTTCTATGCTGGCCAGCGAGTCCAGTCCTCTGAGGCACAGAGCCCAGTTTACTCTGATGCAAGTGTGTCTGGTCATATTATTTCATAAGCTCACACCTACTAGCACATCCCCAGTCCGAGTTTGGACTAACAGGAGGGTAACTGGCATTGGTTCGCAAGTCTCTGGAGGTGGGAATGGAGTGGGGAACTCTCCCCGTAACTCTATGAAGCAAAGGCTCAAGTTTGGTGGGAGTTGGAAGTGGGGAGCGATGACTCTTTAATTTCTGACATTGACCCTGACGGCTGGTTGCAGAGAACAAGGGCACCTTCTCATGTTGGGACCCGGAAGATCCCAAGTACTGTAGTTTTTCTTCCACGAAACCTGGCTATCTTTAAATACATGGGGGAACGGAGACCCACCTAAGAGAAGGTGAATACTCACGTTTTCCGCAGTGTAACATCCAGGCCCTCTGTGGGGTGCTCCCCTAAGAGGGAGAAACTTGTTCCCCAAAAAGTTGGGGGGATAGGAGTGAGGAAAGAGCTTCCTTTGTTGACATGTCCCAAAGGAGTAGTTAACCAGCGTTTCTGGAGGTCAAAAAAGAGGAGACACTCCACGTGAGGGAAGGCCCCTGGCTTTCAGCGAGAGCTGTGGGGGTGGGCAGGCAGAGCAGAGGACGCGGCCGGCCGGCCTGCGGAGCTCTCAACAGAAACCAGACCAAACTCCACGAAGGGGAGCGAACTGCCGCATTTCCTGCACCCCGTCTTTCCCTGCCTCCCCAGTCTTCCTCCTGCATCCTACCCTCAACCTCAACCCTCCTCACCTGCTTTGTTGAAGCACATTGCTCACGCTATTCGGGTTAGCGTTTGCAAACTGCGTTGCCAAGGGGACGGAGACGCCTGCTCGGATTGGCTCAGAGCGCGCCAGCGCAGCAAGTGGGGACGCCCGAGAAGCCGGCTTGGCGCTTCCCAAACCCGGAGCCCAGGGGAGTGTGGGCGCTGCGGCTGGGTTGGGGGTAGATGGGTTTGCCGGACCCGTGGCTGTAGGGGCTGCGGGGATGAAGGGTGCACCGAGGGGCTTTGGAAACTGGGCCACGGGGAATGCGCTGAGGAGAGAGGGGACCATGGGGCTCAGGATACCTGGAAATTAGGGCTACCAGGATCAGGGACTAGGAAAACGCAGCCGCCGCAGTTATGGCTTGAGGAGGTGGGCTCCTAGGACAACGACCAGAGCAGCAGAAACCGGAGACTGAACGGAGCTTAGGTAGTTCCGTAATAGGGGCCTCTTAGACCCAGTTTTCCTTTTGGGACAAGCCTTTCCCACCAGGTTGTCCCTTTGGCCCCCTAAACGGGGCACCATATTTTAACTTTAGGCTGGAAGCCTTAAGTGGAGCGGTAAGAATGCAACAGAATCACAGAACGGCCGAATACTTCTAAAATCTTGGGCAGTCACGTAAATGTCTAAGTCCCAGTTTTCTCATTTCTGAACTGGGAATAATAATTCCTCTGTATTTTGAGACAATTGAGGTAACAGAGTTAAAGCAACTCAGTGCCTGGTACTTGCAAGGTGCTGATGCAAACAGTTATTGTTCCCAAAGATGAAATCCAGCCAGCTCAGGTGCACACCCATCCTAACCCGGGAAGAAGCGTCGGGGCGGTATTGGCTTCTTCACCTTTGTCCTGGATATTATCACTCACTTGTTTTCACTTGGTTTTAGGATGCCTTCAGGGATTGCCAGGAATGGGAGGCAACAGAACACAGGGTGTGACTGGTCTGTACAACTCTTTGGCCCTGAAGGATGACGCTGGGATCCCCAGGCACCCCGGGCTAGTGCTGTGTGCAGACGATGATATTATACATCTAATGTAGAGTTTCCAAAAAAAAAAGGTGATACCGAGACCTGGAGGGTATTTTGGACACCTGTGGAAGCATTTTACATGTTGCAAGGAGGCTCCTGCCCTTGGGCCAGGGAGGCTGGACACCTGGCGGTGCCTTGTCTCAGATCCCACACAGCGTACAAATGTGCTGCTGGACTCTGCAAACATAACTGGTTGTACTTGACGTGTATAATAACACTGAAGATGTTTTCCAGTGAGAAGGCAGAAAGGCTAGCAACACAGGAGAAGGTGGAGACGAGCAACAAAGATGCGGTCTCAAAGGTACAGTATAATTTACTCCGAGCATTCTGTTCACTCATATGGCAGCAATACCATGGTAACTAACGTGTACAGAAATCTTGGCACCGATGGATAACTTTCCATTTTATTAATATTTTTAGATACCCGAAGTGTTTTTGAAATTAGTGTTTACAGTCCCGGCTGAGTGGCTCAGTTGGTTGGAGCGTCATCCCGCACACCAAAAGGCCGCAGGTTCAAGCCTCAGTCAGGACACATACCTAGGTTGCGGGTTTGATCCTTGGTCGAGGGCCCGCAGAAGGCATCCAATAGATATTTCCCCCGTACCTCAATGTTTCTCTTTCCCTCCCTTCCTCTCTCTCTGAAATCAACAAAACATATCCTTCAGTGATGATTAAAAAAAAAAGAAACTAGTGTTTATGTTATTCGTGACATGAAACATAGCTTACAAAGTACTTTGGAAATATGAAAACCCGTTCCCTCATTGAGTAGTTTGGTCTGGTTCCAACTGACCCTCTGGCTGAGAAGAGATTTAAAAAAAAGCTAGACTAAATAAAATATTTGAAGAGGTCAGAGATATACCAAAGAATTGAAAATTGGGCAGAGTCAAGGTCCCAGATGGAGGGCAAGTCCAATGTGGCGAACACAACAGTTGATGCTGCTCTTCCCTTTGACCATTTGCTACTAAATACAAAACCAGCTGAGAAGCAGGAGGTTTGGGCAGAACTTTGAACCATCTCTGAAAGCTGGGGAGCAAAAATGAGGCTGCCCACAGAGGAGGGAGGACGGGAAAGCACCCTGCTTTAATTCTGTTACCTTTTAGTTGGGAAGGAGAGAACCCTAGGAATGAAGGTAAGTAAGAAACAGACCAGCTCTCCACAGTCCTGGATGCAAAGCTTCAATTGCCAGTCTCTAAAGGAACGAAGGTGAGCTGCTTCTGCCTTTACTGCATACGGGGAACAAAAGGACATCACCTACGAATGTAACATTACCCAGAGTCTCAACTAATTTCTAGTTTTTTCATGCAAAGTGTTTGACATGTAATATAAAACAACCACCACCACCAACAACAACAAAGTAGAAATAAACCCGAAGGAAATCCAGACATTTGGAATGATCAAACATGGACTTTAAAGCCACAGTACTTGTCTTGGGATCTTAGAGGAAGCCTCAAGACTACAGGGTGAGGCTAGGAAGCAAAAGAAAACAAGAAAAATAGGTGGCCATGAAGTAAATTGTTGGTTTTTAAGTTAGAGGCCAAAGGAGAAAAGTAGATCAGCCCCTAAAAGCAAAGTGAATAACGATCCCTGTGTACTCAAGGGCAGAGACTTTTCCCCATCCATCTTCTCAGTCATGTTACTAATAAACCCACACTAGGCACACCTGCATCCTGACTGATGCAAATCTGTCAGCTTTTTGTTAAAGCCAACCCGAACATGGTGCAGTCAAAGATGGACTGTCTATATGGTATGTGTATCTCCTGTATAGCCCACTGTCTAATCGTAACCTTGAGAAGCTTGAGAAGTTAAGGCAGAGTGTCAGGTAGCTCTAAGGACTGTCAAGGACCCAGTGTTTGAATGATGATCATGCACCAAAAAAAGCTATTCAAGTCGCTGCTTGGTACAGAAGAATGCTTAGGCAAAATTGGCTACTGTGGACACTTTTGGTGAAGTCCTTAAGTTCCCACAATGCACATTTTAAAAATCATACTTATAACAGCATGCCTGATGTTTATAGAGCTTGTCTGTTAAGCTTTATGAGACAGTTATCTGCTTTTCTTATTTGACAACTATGAGGCTGTTATAATTATTCTAGAAAACCACCTGCTTTGTTGCAGTGTCTAATTGAACTTGGTTAAATAAATTCAATTTTTGCTATAATGTTTTAAGTAGATTTTTGTCTCATTAAAAAATTTATTAGATTAGCCCTGGCTGGTGTGGCTTAGTAGATTAAGTGCCAGCCTATGAATCAAAGGGTCACTAGTTTGATTCCCAGTCAGGGCACATGCCTGGGTTGTAGGCCTGGACCCCAGTAGGGGACCAGTGAGAGGCAACCACACATCGATGGTCCTGTTCCTTTCTTTCTCCTTCTCTTCCCCTCTCTCTAAAAATACATAAATAGAATCTTTTAAAAATTTTATTAGATTAAATGATAATGAGACAGCTCTGTAAAGGGGATAAAGCTGATTCCAGAAATTAAATGACTAGATGGAGAATTTTAGAAGCAATAAAAAAGAATGAAATAAAAATTGTAGAAATAAAAAGTGTCATCACTGAGAGTTTACTCAGTGCTTGTGTCTAACAACAATTACAGAAGCAGGAAAAAAAGGATAAATGAAATGGAAAATTAATCAGAAAAATGTACTAAGATTGAAGCTTGAAGAGGCAAAAAGGACAGAAAATACATGGGAAAAGTGTAATAGACAGAAGAGAAACAACAGTAAGGTCTAATACTCACATGTTTGCAGTTCCTTGAGGAATGGAGAGGGAGGGAGGGGGCAGAAGGAAAACGTGGCAGATGCAAGAGTTGAAGAGGTAATGGCTGAGAACATCTAGAAATTGGTAAAGAAATGGAACCACAAGTTCACAAATGCTACAACTCAAGTAAGACAAATAGAAAATTCCCTTGGTCATATTACAATAAAACTAATGAAAATCCAAAGGAGAAATTTTTGATATCAATCAGATTAAAAAGGCATGTTTATTTACTTATTTATTTTATACTTATCCCAAGGACAGGTTTATTGATTTTAGAGAGAGGGGAAGGGAAGGAGAGAGAGAAGGAGAGAAACACCAATGTGAGAGAGAAACATCGATCAGTAGCAAGCATCTCGTATGCGACCTGACTGGTACTGGGCCCACAATCTAGGCATGTCCCTGACCAGGAATCAACCCACAACTCTTTGGTTTATGAAGTGATGCTCCAACCAACCAAGCCGCACCGGCCAGAGCAAATGGTATGTTACTTTTAAAGAAGTGACAATATGCTGATGGCTGAGTTTCCAACAGAAACAATGGGAGCCAGGAGACAATGGAATGGTTTCTTCGCATGCTAAAGAAATAATGGTAAAGGATGGAATCCACATTTCATATGAAGACTAGCAAAAATAAAGTAAATGAATGTATCCCAAGATGATCAAAGATATGAAAGGCAGAGAGAAGCTGAGGAATTATTCTAAGTTGAAGGATTTTGATGAAGCATGACAATCTCATACAACACATATTCCTGGGTAGGATCCTGGATGAATTAGGAAAGGTAAGTTGCTGGGACAGCTGGAAAGTCTGAATGGGGTCTGTGTTATTTAATGGTAGTGTTATATCAGTGCTGATTTTCTGATTGGTAGGGTAATGTGGTCATAATATCAGAGAGAATCTCTGGGAAAGTTACACTAGAGTTTTTAGGGAAGATGGAAGCGTCCTGTCAGAAAAAAAAAGTTTATTCAGAGGGGGAAAGAGAAGTAGCATTTAAAAACTGAGAAATATGGGTGAAGGGGATAGTACTTTGTTCTATTTTGCAATTTTCCTTTAGGTTTAAAACTGTTTCATTGTAATTTAAAAAATAGCATTAAGAGAGTAAGAAAGTAAGCCATGGTTTGGGAGAAGATATAAGCACAAAAAGCATCTTTGGACCTGCAATTTCCAACACAGAAGCCACTATGCACATACTGAGCCCTGAAATGTGATTGGTCCAAAATGAGATGTGCATCAAGTGTAAGACATATACACCCGACTTTAAAGACTTAGAATGAAAAGAGTGCAAAAAATCTCATTAAGAAATTTTATATTGTTAATCTTGAAATGATAATATTCTAGATATGTTGAGTTAAATAAAACAATAATAGAATTTACTTCCCTTGTTTCTTTCTAAATGTGTATGTTAGAAAATTCAAAATACATTGCTCACATTATAGTGTGGCGCTAGAATACGTAAAGCATCATTACAGATTACTAAGAAAAAAGAACCTACTATAAATGGGTAAAAGTCTTAAAAGGGCACCTCCAAAAAATGACTATCCAAATAACATATAACCAGGAAACATAAAAAGTGCTCAACTTCAGTGGTTATAAAGGAATGCAAATTAAAACCACAATGAGACACCCAACAGATGGCTAAAATTATAAATACAGCAGCACTCACTGCTGCTACGGATGTAAAATGACTAGGAATCTTGAATACGCCTTCAGTGTAAGTACAAACGGACACATTCACTTTGGAAAACTGTTCAGCAATATTTCCTGAAGCTTAACAGCCACATCCCTATGGTAGATAATTTCTACTCTATGGTATTTTCACTCAGAAAATGCATCCATTTGTGTCCCAAAAGACATTTACAAGTACATTATCCAATAATTGGGACTATTATTCATAACAGTCCCAACCCGAAACAACCAATTGTCCTTAACAGCAGAATGAAAAAATAAGTTATGAGATTCACACAGAGGAATACTATACAGTAATGAAAGTGACTAAAATCCTGCATGTATAGTAATTTAGATTAATCTCAGTGTTGAATGAAACAATTCAGAGATGACCATTTCCACATTAAATTTATATAAAGTTCAAAAATAGACAAAACTCTCTCTATGTTCTGGAAGTCAGAAAGGTGATAGCTTTGTAAAGGAGGGTGAGGGGGTAACTGAGAAGGGACCTGGGAAGAGCTTTTGAAATGACAATGATGTCCCATCTTGAAGTGGGTGCTGACTGCTTATATGTCTGTGTTCAACTTGCATGTTTCATTTATCTGTCCAGTTACACTGTGGGCCTTTTTTGGTATATATGAATAATAAAATAATTTATTTAAAAAATCTGGCCACCCTAGAGGAAGCACATCAACATTATTTATTTTTACAGTACAGAATAATCACCCCCCTTTCCATTTTTTAATTAGTTTATAATTGAATGGTTTGTAAATGCTGTCCTACTTTAACTAAAGCTATTTGCCTTTTTCTGTTATTAGAACCCAGTATATCTGGAGTGTTAGTAATCCCCCTAACCCAAATTCCAGTGTCTGTTCATAATTCTGCTCTTTTATTTTCCTACACTGCTTGTATGAAATGGCATTAACCTTCTCTCCTGATTCTAGGCTATTCATTAGTCATCATACATGGCAAGAGCCCATCTGTTGCAATACCTCCTTGTCTTCTGAAGTAGCCATATCTGAACATGAATACACGTTATTTTATTAGGATTTTTTCTCTTTTACATTAAAATTATGGCATGGCATTGTTTATGAAATGATGTGTGGTAGATTATGTTACCTGTGAATTTGATTTTAGGATAAAATAATTAAGAAATGATGTTTCCAATGTTACAAAATAACCTGCTCCTCAAAGCAGGTTCTGAATCTGCATAGGCTTGAGAACCCATGACCCAGACTCTGCGGAGGGATGGACGTGCCTAGACTTGAGGAGCAGACTTTCTAAATCCCACCTGCCAGTCTTTCTTAAATACCAGCCTCTCTCATCTGGGGGTAGAAGATGACATAGGCTTTGAAGCCACTCAGAATAGGTTCCCAATAGGTCCTAGCTTGTCATTTACTAGCTAGGTGACTTTGTGGAAGTGACTCCATCTACCTAAGCCCTGGCTCATCTATAGAATGGCTGGAATCATTCTCGCCTCTTAAGGCTGCCACGAAAATTTAGGAGGCACCATGGGACAAATCTTGTGCGACAAGGGACTGACCTACAATTAGCACTTAACAAACGTCAGTGCACGTCCAATCTAGCACTTCCATGCCTGAGGCTACAGCTAACTCCAAGGGCACCTTCGTGCCTGTTAAAAAGTGGTGCCCGTGCCTGTGGGTGGGTGCCACCACGTGGCCTCATGACCTGGTGAGATGAGCGTTTCCCCTCCCCTACCTGGATCAGGGTCCTTAAGTAATCTTGTCCATATGTCACCTCTTCCCTCTTAGACTCCAATACTGAAGGGCTGGGTTGTCATAATGTCCTGGAGTTCAAGAACACGATTACCTTGGGCAAAGTTCCAGAACGGCTGGGAGACCCGTGGCTTCCTGACACTCTGTATTCCTAGGTCAATCGAGTGGCTTGGACTCAGAAGGGTTCCGAGATTCTCTGAATCAGAGCTATCTCTGCGAGGAGCTTTCAAAAGTGAACCTTTCAAAACTCCGGTTTTCTTCATATCCAATCCTCATGAGTCACCAGTGTCCTAAGTGGACTTTACCCAAGAAAATGCAGGGTGTCACTGAAACTGGCAGCTAAGCAGTAGCCCCACCTGTCAAGTCCCCTTTCAGGCCATTGTGACATGGCTTTCTGCCATCTGTCTTAGTAGTGACCTAAACAGGAAGCTCCTTCCCAAATGACTCCCCCATCTCCTATGTTCTATTTGTCTCCAAGCTTTATCATTCTTTGGCTAGAAATGTAACTACATTTATCACAACACCCAGTTTGACTGACTCTTGCCTTCTTCACCTGACCATTGTGGACCCTAGACTCCCCTACCTGTGTCTTTGATCTCCGAGGTGCACCACAGGAGTGCCCAGAGGTCAGTATGTCACAATGGGCATCGCTTTCTGTGTTCTGTGACTCTATTCCAGCCCTGTCTTGCCAAGACCCCTTTATCCCTTCCACGCCCTTCTAATGGCTTCACTTAACAATTAAATCCCAACTTGACCACTGTCTTTACAGTACCTAGAACACTAGCTGGAACATACATACTGATAATACATAATCGGCATGGGTCGAGAGCTCATGAATGGTCATTGCCCAGAAGGTTGCATGCGTAGGCCTCATCGCTCCCGGAACGCGGCCATCCCCCACCAGGACGCAGAGGTCTGTTGAGGGAGGCAGTGAAACGCAGTCACTGGGACTGTGAGCTCTGGAAGCAGCCTGCTTGGCTTTGGATCTTACCTCTGCAGCTTATTAGCTGTGTGATGTTGGGCCGGCCACCCAGTTCCTCTGTGCCTCTGTGCCTCAGTTCCTCAGTTCCTCAGTTCCCCAGTTCCCCAGTGCCTCAGTTTCCTGGAATTAATATTTTCCTCACAAGGTTGCTGGGATAATTCAGTAATTAAATACACTTAAAATACTTAAAACAATGTTGGACACATAGTAAGGTGTGGAGGACGGTGAAGGCTGGCGTCAGAGCTAAGGTTAAGTGCTTGGCAAGGCCACACTTGACTGCTTGCATCTGCAAGGCGGATCGAGCCAGCAGGGATAATGGCTGGGACCCACAGGGGTTAAGAAGGACATAGTTAACCACAAGCTTCAGCTGAATGCAGCTGTAACATTTGCAGAAGAAACATTTATCATTTAGATAGCCTGGGAACCAAGCAATTATGCCTGCAGTTTTTCCCTGAGTCTGCAGAACATCCTTGAGCTGTATCTAACCCACCTCTGTAAAATAAATGTGGAGCCCATGTCCAGGGTCATTGCCTCTCCATCAGAAGACAATGCCCCACCTGGCCCTCGCTTTTCCCTAAACTGTGTCTGTGTCTTTCTTAATCTCCTGTCACCCCCTCTCACGGACCTCCTCCCCATGCTGGTTGTGGCAGTAAGCAGGAGCCATTACATTCTTTTTATATTAGTTAAAATTCTTTTAGTCACCAGTAAAACAAAGAAACTTGAGCCACCGTAAGCAGCAATGAACGTGTTAGATGGTTACGGGGAGTTTCACAGAGCCCACCAGGATCAGTGCATCTGGGCCTTGGCAAGGAGCCAGAATCGAGCTGGAGAGCCATTGGTAAACGGTCTTTCTCCACTGTGCTGTGGCTTTCCTCTGCACTTCCCCTTTAGTGTCCTTGCTCTGTGTCCAGCCCGACTTTCCATTCTCAGTCTTTCACTACAGCCCCTGTGCTGACCTATTTCAAGCCAGCCATTCTCAGGGACTGGCAATCGGTCTTTGTTCCCGGTTGCAGATCCCAAGAGGTGGTCATGTGATTGGCCCTGTGGAGTCGGATGTCCACTCTAGTCAACCGGCCAAGCCAAAGGAGGACCTGATGCAGCCCAGCACAGTAGCTGGTGACCACCACTATGGATTCCAGGAGGGGGGCACCTGAGAAAGGGACACTGCTGGCCCATGGGTTAGGTAGACACCCCAAAAGGAGTCACTCCTTAGCACAGGTCTTTCCAAGGCGGCTGACCTGGGAGGTGCTGGGCCAGCTCTGGGACCTCAGGAGATGTGGGCAGAGCACACAGGGCTCAAGGCAGATGTGCTCTCAGCAAGCCAACGAGGCCCGTACCCCCGAGTCTCACCGAATCACATGGGCTCCTTCCTGAGGACCATCACCAGGCTACAGAACTATCTTCTTCATGTCCTCATCCCATCCTAGTACCAAGCTTTCAGACTGTTCTTCCTGACCATCTCCAACCTCTGTGCCGATCAACGCAGGCAGATTGAGAGCTGCGTGTCGTCTTTACCATGTCACTCGCCGCCGCCACTCCACCCCACGCATAGCTGGCATCTTCACATCTGGAGAGGTTTCCACCCAAACCGCCCAACACCAAGGCCACTCACGTTTTGACTGATGGACTGTATTGCAGAACTCCAGGTAGAAGCAAGACGTGCAGAACAAAGGAGACTGTTCAGAGCCCAAGGGAATGGAGACAGGTCAGGTTTAGGGCCAGTTGCAGCAACGGCAGCTGGTGTCAAAGACAAGCCCGGCCTGGCAGTTCCTCAGATACCATTTAGGCAGTGCCAGAAGGCATTTCTGTTGCCCTCCACAGGGTAGAGGCCATTGGCTTTGTCTGCACAGAAGCCAGTGCCCCCAGGGCTACCCCTCCCACTCCCGGACCCACTTCTACTTCCACTGCTGCTGCTGCTGGGAGGAGTTAGTGTTGTGATGGGCCGGGGTCAGGGGGCGGTGCAACCTGGAACAATACAAGAGCAGACCCGTGACCCGGGAGAGGCTCCCAACTTTGCCTGCAGGTGCAGAGACCAGTGGACCTGGGGCTGGGGTACAGGTGGCTCTGGATCCCTGCAGCTGAAAGATCGCAGGATGGCTCCATACTCAGGAACGGGGAAAGCTGTAGTGACAAGCCAGGCTGGGGTTTTTTTTTTTTGGTTTTTTTAATTTATAAAGTTTTCTCTCTTGCCTTACAATGCCAACATCATTAAAACAAATTTACTGAGCACCCAAATATGCAAAATACTTTCTAGGATCTGAATATCGGTCTTGAGCAAATATGCTCTAAAAAACACCTGGGGAAAGTTCAGGGCATTGGAAACATGCGAACATTGCCAAGTGTTTCTTGTTAAATCTGCCCAGGTGGCTGCAAGAGACTTAATAAGGGGACCGTAGAGAAGCACAGGCTTATATTGTGAGGTCAGCCTAATTATGTCTTGAGGCTTTGCCATGCCTTTAAGACATTTAGCACACCTGGAAAACTCACCCGGGTAGACTTGGTTTCCCATGAGAGCATGAAATTTCTGGCATGGAAATTCAAGGACAGGGAAGATCATAGCACAGGCCTCTCAAGAGCAGGGAGGTGAGATGGGAAGAGGCTTCCCGGGCAGTGGGGCGTGGGAAGATGTGAGAACTGTCTGAGCTGGAGAAGGAGCATTTATAGAGCCCTGGGCATCCTCCTGCTGTCACTCACTTCTGCTCTGCAGGCCCAGGGCCTCCTTCAGCACAGTGGTCAGGGGGAATCTGCCCTCGTGTCAGAAAGTGCCCATGAAGTCAGTCATCCAGATCGGTGGCCCAGACCCTGGTGCCTCCAAAGTTGTTCTTCTTCAGCCAGTCGGCCTGTGATAATTAGAGAGAAATCCAATGATGTGGAGACATCAAGGCCAACCAGGGACCCTGGGGCTACAGATGGGAACAAACTCACGGGCGGCACAGCCTACCTTGAATTTGAAGCTCTTGGTGTTGTCGTAACTGAGCCACTCACTGCCTTTGTAGGCGTAGGGGGCGTCCTCAGCAGCCTCCCCCACTTCAGTAGCTCCATTCTTCAGGGAGGTACAGATCTAAGAGGAGATGAAGAGGAGGCTGTGCGGCAGGAGCAGAGGGCACGGGGGCGGGCAGGATAGAGAGGAGATACTCGAAAGCCACCTGGAAAGGAAGGCCTGGAGCTCCATCAGCACATTTCTCAGTTCACGCAGGGTTTTGATCCTTTCCCCCATTTGGGAGAAGTTCTTAAACCAAAGAATGCCTTGGCAGGCATCAAGAAGTGTCTATATATTGATCTAATCTCATTGATGAAACCCTTTCTTCCTACTCTCTCTGTACTTGGAATTCAGCCTAATGTGCAACAGGAGAGCTCATCTTGCCTCCTGAAATGAGCCAACGACTTGTGCAGTGAGCCAAGAAGTACTGAATTGTTTATACTGTTAAATCCATGCCCTAGAGCAAGCCACTTTTCTCCTTCTCTCGAAGATTTCCAGGAGCATACCTCGTAGTAGGCCCAGAACCCAGACTGCCTGGTGTAGGGCCCAGCGGGGCCAGGGCCTGTGGTCAGAGCCCTGATTCCATGGTTGGAGGGGTTGCTCTGGAGGAAGGTGTGTCCATAGGTTGGGAATCCAAGGATCAGCTTCTCAGCAGGGGCGCCACTGTCCTTCCAGTAGTTCCTGATATAGTCCTGCAATGGCAGTGGGTTAGCGAGAGCGCCCCCTCCAGGCAGATGGCTCAGGGCTTAGTCATGTTAAACCCCTGTTTTAGCAGGTAAATTGTTTGGTGTTAATGACAGAGGCTTCAGTAGCATTTTTAAAAAACATTTTGGTGGAATTACAGTTAAAGCAAAGAGGACATTTATAACAAGACATTTGCAAGCGATTCAGGGCTGAAGGTGTCTCTCAGAGGTAGTTCTGTCCCTGGAGAGAATTAAAGACCCTTAGAAATCAGTGCCCTCTGCTGAAATGAAATCTTAAAGCTGCAAACTCTGACTTAAATGTATTCTAGCTGCCTCTGCACACTAATACTGGCAATCACTAATGCTCTTACCAGTACTTCTGTACCAAGCAGTGCTCTTGGTAGTTTATTGAAATGCATTCGTTAATCATCACCCAAACCCTTTGAGGTGGGTATCATTGTTACTATTCCCATTTCACTCATTTGGAAACTATCACCCAGAAAGGCTGACAGCCTGTTTAGCTCTTGTAGCTGTCTCCCTGAGGAATAGTTTCACTCAGAGGGAAATGAACCATCTGTTCTGAGTCCACTCCTGGCTTCCTGCTTAGACTCTGCCGTGACCTCCCCGTGTTTCCTGGGACAAGTCAGTGCTGCTTTAGCTCACTGGTCTGTGAGGCGGGGTGGAAATGCTCTCTGTCCTCCTCTTCGAGAAGAGTTATTTCAAACGCCGGGAAGGGGACAGACTTGGAAATGCTTTAACAGCTGAAGGCACCATGAAGAGGCCTCGCCATGTTTTTTGGGTTTTTTTAATCCTTATCATGTATTTGTTAGACCACCTGTCAAGTTGGTTTCAGCTTTAGGATTTTTAAGTCAATGATCCCAGTCCTTTAACTTGGTTGGGGAATTTTGAACCCTCTACAAAAAATTAATGAATAGTCTTTGTTTTATGAACAAGGAGAGAGGGCAGACAGTTTCCAAATGATGAAAGGGGAACGTCAGTGGTGGTTTGTCCCGAGAAGAATACATACCTGTCCCAGCCGTCAGCACGAGGAGCAGACCTTAAAGCAACAGAGAGAGCGATGACCCGGAGGACCCCACCGGTGACCACGGCAGCTTCCTACACGGTGTTAGTTTGCAGGAGGAAGGGTTTCCAGCGTGTTACTCTAAGTCCTTTTAACACTCTCTGTAGACTCCCAACCTCTGGGGCTAACAAAGTGTCACAGTCCCTCCTAGAAGCCCAATCCCCTCTACTTCTGCTCATGAGACCACTAATGCTCCCTGTGCCTTGAGGCTTGGGGTGGGGGTGGTGAGGAGGGGAACTCAGGGCTGGGGAAAGCCTGTCACCACCCTATCAGCAGGGAAGGAACCGCGCTTTGGCCCAAAACAATCATCTCAGGCAAGCTGGTTGAGTTCAAAGGTAAAAGAAAGTTTTAAAGGGGCAGAAAAACAGGAGCGGGGGAGTGGTTCCCAGGCACAGAGCGGTGGTGGGTCCTGACCAGTGAGGAGGGTGAGCTTGGCCATCTTGCCTCAGTGGCAATGACTGCCTAGTTCAGCCTGCCATTTATAGCCTGTCTCCCCCCTCCCGTGACTCATCAGATTCTCCTATCGAGAGTGCCTCTGAAGCCAATGCTGACATGGGTAGCGCTCCAAAACCTCAAACCCATCTGAGAACCCATTATTGACCGGTTAAACCATACTATCTTGATTCCAATTTGCAAGAAGAGGAGACTGGGCTCAAGCCCAGGAACCATACTAAGAAGCTGCCTAACGGAATAGCTTACATATCTCAGCGCGGTTGGTGTGCAGGGCACCATTGTCTCTGCTCAGGTAGCAAGGGATTGGCTCTCTCACACTCAGGCATTTGTAGCAAATGATTTCCATGGTCCCTTCCCGAGGCAGTTGTCTCTCTCTCCCCTGTGCCTTCGCTTCTGGTGCTGGAATATTTAATAGCCCTTTCAAGTAGAATAAACATCCAGATTCTCAAATTTCCTATTTCGGCTAGAATTTATTTGCCTGAAAACTAGTCCCCACTCTAAAGGTTTTCCTTCCTTGCTTCCCTTTTCGTAATTGGTGTTCTTATCGGTGTTCTCCACAGAGGAGAACAAGTATTTAAAATGTGAGTCAAACAGGATTTAGCTCTTTCTGTTCAACGAGGCAGCTGATCGTCAGACGTAGAGATGCAGGTCTTTCTGAGACCCTGATGGGCACGCTCACCACCCTAGAGATTGAACTGAACCCATTGACACCATCGAGAATGTTAAAGCCCAAATTCAAGGCAAAGAGGGCATCCCCCCTCGCTGGCAGTGTCTGAATTTTGTGAGCAAACAGCTGGAGGATGGCCGCCTCACTCAGCAACATTTTACCCTGAACTTGGGGCTCCGCCTGCCAGGTGGCTTTATCAAGGCTTCCCTCCACCAGCTCACCCAGAAATGCAACTTCCACAAAATGATCTGTCCCAAGAGCTTCTTCACAATCCTATGCTATCAAAGGTCACAAGCCCCCACCCACCTACCTCTCAAGGAGAAGGACAAATACAGACCACCCTGCCCTGTAGGGTGGCTTCCTGCATAAATCCCATGGCCCTGGGGTCTCAATAAAAGTTCCCTTTAGTTGTTGACTGGAGCAGCAAAATATATATATAAGTTTGAACCTAATATATTAGTAATTACATTAAATATGAATGGGCTAAATACTCTAGATTGCCAATCTATTTTCTTATTTAAAAAATGCATAAGTAGCCCTGGCTGGTGTAGCTCAGTGGACTGAGCTCGGGTCTGCAAATTAAAGGGTTGCAGTTCAGTTTCCAATCAGGGCCCATGCCTGGGTTGCAGGCCAGGTCACCAGTGTGGGACACATGAGAGGCAATCACACGTGGATGTTTCTCTCTCTCTCTCTCCTTCCCTTACCCTCTAAAAATAAATAAATAAAATCTTTAAAAAATAAAAAATGCATAAGTAGCCCTGACTGGTGTGGTTCAGTGGGTTGGGCATCATTTGCAAACCCAAAGATGGCTATTTCCGGTCAGGGCACTCGCCTGGGTTTTACGAACTGTGTCCCTGGTTGGGGCATGTGCAAGAATCAATCTTTCTCTCTCTCTTTCTCCCTCCCTTCCCCTCTCTCTAAAAATAAATAAATAAAATCTTTTAAAAAACTATTCAAGTATATGCTGAGAGTGTTCTCATGGCAGATGGGAAACCAGGTAGGAAGTAATTTTTAAAAAGTATTCTTCTAGTAAAAGGTGAGTCAGGAATTGGAAAGAAGAGAGGGAAGAGGGACAATTCCTGTTTCCTACAACCATGTAGTCAATACTGCACTTGGAGTGGATACCGTGGGAACTCCCCATACCAAACTTTTCAGTGATGCTCACTCCCCTGCTTAATCGTGGCGCAGTGAGGGCCTGTGCTACCTCAGGTAGCAAGTGCGTGCTGGGCTGTCCGAGCAAACTAGACACTGGTGCACACAGATAAATGAGTGGAAGTATGATCTGGTGAATGGAGGGCTGCAGGACAAGTTAGTCCAGAGGAAGTATCTGAGCCAAACAGAAAGGAGTCCAGCTGGATGAGTGGGCTGTTATGCATCTGGATTTAAAGATCCCAAAGAAATGGCCAGAGGTCGGTGGAGAGAATCAACAAACCAGTTTTGGAGAAGTGTGGCTCTGAGAATATCCAGCCTGGGCTGGGAATGAGAGGCAGCCTCACAGTGGGATGGGGGCAAAGGGCGGCCCAGAGTATGGGGTAAGGTCCCGGACACGGGAGCCACACTGCCAGCTCTGACGTGCATTTCCAAGCTGAGAGACCTCAGGCCACCTCTTGGCCTCTCTGGGCCGTGTTTCTCCCTGTAAAGTGGGAATAATCACCAGGACGACCTCAGGGCGTCTGTATGATGAGTCAGCAAGCTGATGTTTAGTGAGGGTTCCTGGAATGCGCATTAAGTGTCAGTTATAAACACAGAGCAGCAGGAAGGGGCTTGGAGCAAGCACTGGGGGAATACCAAAGGCGACTTCCTTCCCGGCACAGCCAGGGCCGTGCAATAAGGAGCCATTCTTGTGTGCAGACTCTTAAGATAAAGATGGCCACCAGACACGTGTACGAATGGCTGAAGTGCAAACCACAGGGACCACAGAGGGGAACCATGGGCCAGAGATGCTTGAATAGCTGTGACATATGTGCCAGATATCTCAGATTTTTGAGCAATTAAGTCCATGTTCTCGTGATTAGCTTACACAATGGCTAGGTGGGGCACTTGGCGCAAATCTGGGAACTTCTTTTCTGCTGACTTATGAGGACATTCGGGACATAGAGGGATGCCTGATCAGCACTTCTGAATCGCTTCACTTAACTCTCGTCCAAGCCCAGATGCGTGTCAGAGTGAAGGGATATTAGAATCATGTGATTTTCAAAGTATTTATTTTTGAGGGATAGTTTGCTATTCAAATAAACTTATCAAATAGTTCTATCAGAATTATTTTCAAAAGAAGGTTTTCTAAATAGCAAAAACATGTAACTGCCTAGTAACACAAAGTTTAAACTTCTAAGTGATTCTTCTTGCTACATATTCGCAAACTTCAGCTTCTTAGCCATATTTCTGGCATTTTTCTGGAGACTGAAATTTTTTTCCAGTATGGTTTTATTATTTTTAATTTTTTTCATAGTAGTGCCTGAAACCTTCTTCAAAGTTGCTTTCCACAGTTCATCATCTCAAAAATGAGGATAACTTTTGTGTTAGTCTACTTGGGGTGCCATGACCAATGCCACCGACGGAGTGGCTTAGACAACAGAAATGTATCTTCTCGAAGTTCTGGAAACACAAGTCTGAGATCAGGGTGTCCACTGGGTTAGTTTCTTCCGAGGCCTTGCTCTGTGGCTGACAGATCACATGGTCACCTCTCTGTCCTGCTCTCCTGTTCTTGTAAAGACAGCGACCAAATTGAATTAGGGCCCACCCAAATGAGCCTCACTTGACCTCTGTGACCTCTTTAGGGGCCCTGGGGGTGGCACCTCAACATGCAAC